AGTACAAGTTCTTTTACCTTTGCGTAGGGCTATTGGTAAGGTAGCTAGATCAGACGACGAAGAATCCTGCTCAAGACATGAATCTGGCGTATTGTCAAGAACCAAAGTAGTGTCTAGATTCGGGTTAACCTCTTTTGGAACAGACTGGTGTTTACGAGAATATACCTGAGTGATAGGTGGTCGGGAAGGTGGAATAGAAGCGGAAGCGGTGGTAACCGTATAGATGAGAATATCATCATCACTGTCGCCATGGCTTTCTGAATTTGAAGAAAGTGAGAAAGAAACATCTTCATGGAAGGTTACATCAATAGACACTAGATATCTTCCCGTTGATGGACAATAACACCTATACCCCTTTTCAACACGAGAATATCCCAAAAAGATGCACTTTAAAGATTTAGGATCTAATTTCGTGATATGGGGCCTTACATCTCTCACAAAGCAAGTACATCCAAATGTTTTTGGTGGAATAGGAAATACAGATTTGTGAGGGAAAAGACACTGATAGGGTGTTGTACCATGTAAGACCGAAGACGGCATACGGTTGATCAAAAAACAAGGAGTAGAGACTGCATCAGCCCAAAAATGTTTTGGAACCCACATTTGGAACAGGAGAGCCCGAGCAGTTTCTAGTAAGTGCCTGTTTTTCCGTTCAGCAACCCCATTTTGAGATGGGGTGTCAACACAAGAAGATTGATGTAAAATTCCATGTTCAAGCATATAAGAGGAAAAAGGTTCGGAAAAATACTCTTTAGCATTGTCACTTCTCAATACACGAATAGGTATATTAAATTGTGTTTGTATCTCAGCACAAAAAGCACGAAAATGGGAAAATAATTCAGAACGACTTCTCATAAAATATATTCAAGTCATGCGAGAGAAGTCATCAACGAAAGTAACAAAGTACCGAAACCCGGTTTTGGACATAACACGATAGGGACCCCAAACATCAGAATGAACTAACTCAAAAGGAGTACGTGCTCGTTTATTGACTCTAGGACTTAAACTAACTCGATGATGTTTAGCAAATTGACAAGACTCACAATTTAAAGAGGACACCTTACGGACACATCTTTTTCAACAATAGTAAGGATGGGTGCCCTAAATGACAATGGACTACCAACGGAATACCCATCCCGAAGCAGGCAACAGTTCTCGGTATACTGGAATCAAGAATATAGAGGCCACCAGACTCATGCCCTTTACCAATAATCAGCTTCGTCGTAAGATCCTGGAACATGCAGTGAGTGGGAAAAAAGGTTATGGAACAATTTAGAGCATTAGTGATTTGACTAACAGAGATCAAATTAAAAGACAAGTTGGGAAGGCTCAAGACCGAGGATAACGGGAGATCAGGAGTCGGATTAGCAGTGCCAATCCCAAGCACCCTAGAGGTTGATCCATCAGCTAGAGTGACATGGGAAGTTGAAGGAGAAGATTGAAAGGTAGATAGGAGGCTAGAGTTACCTGTCATATGATCCGTGGCTCCCGAATCAATAACCCATTTGGAAGCTGAAGAGACGAGGCAAGTGTTGGGATTACCTGAGGTGGCAGCCGCTACATTTGAGGGAGATGATGAGGATTCTTGGTAATTCAGGAACTTAGCATACTCATCTGCAGAAAATACAACCGTTTTCTCACCATGAGTATCAGAAGATACCATATTGGCAGACCGATTGCCCTGATTTATATTCTGAAGCTTTCGGCAATCCTTCTTCATGTGCCCCGGTTTCTGACAGTAATGGCAAATGATTGGATTATACTGCTAGCCATGAGGATCCTTATTGTGATATGACGACTTCACAGGCTCCCCCTTTGACTTCTGACTGACAAGAACACTGCTCGACTGAGGGGGTTGGTAGGTCTCTGTGCGTAATACTCTAGAGAATACATCAGATAGGGATTTGAGCTCCTCACTGGACAATATCTGGGACTTGGCTAGTTCTAGTCGAGGATGAAGATCAGCCAAAAAACTCATGATGGCCATTTGTTCTCGTTGTTGCTGCAGCACCTTTATATCCGTTGTGAACGGCATTAATTCATTAAGAGCCTCATATGTTTTCTTGAACTCCATAAAATAAGTCTGCAGAGGTTTGTCAAGTATATCGGCCCTATAAAAAGCCTTACAAACATCATAGATTCAAATAATGTCGCCTTTACCCGAATACAAAAAATTAAGATAGTCTAAGAGTTCTTTGACAGTTTCACAATGACTAACAAAACCAAATATCTCAGATTCAATTGAGTTCCGTATTTGAAGAAATAATTTAGCATCATCACGCAACCAAGCAAGCACTAGGGATATAACTAGTGCTTGCCAAACATCGGAGTAGATCAGCTCCAAGATAGCCTTTTTCCTTTCTTTAGAGCTCTCGAACTTTAATCTATGCTGCTTACTTGTAACGCAATGCTCACAAAAAGGTAATGAAACATTTTTTAGCCCTGGAAGAAGATGTTGATCAGCAAGAATCTTTAGACCTCGTTCCGACATGTGGCCAAGTTTCTGATGCCACATTATCGTTGATTTCTCTATAAGATTGTCTGCTGCAACAGCTGCTTCTCCTTGTAGTTGTGTTTCTCCTTTAAGCATGTATAGATTGGCTGCTATCTTTTCAGTTTTCATCACAACAAGCGCGCCCTTGATTACTTTGATGATCTCATCCTGAATGTGAATTTTACATTCACGGCTATCTAATTGTCTAAGAGACAATAGATTTTTCTTCAGGCCCTTCACGTGTCGTACCTCTTGGATAGTGCGAACCGTACCATCAAACATTTTTATTTTAATAGTACCAATACCAGCAATCTCTAAGGCATGGTCATCTCCCATGAACACAGATCCTCCAGAAACAAATTCATATTCATGAAACCATTCTTTCCGTGAGGCCATATGCCATGTTGCTCCTGAGTCCATTAGCCAGACATCAGCTAGACTTTTCCTGCCTTCAACAATTGTTGCTGCTTCACCAAATAAAACTTCGCATTCATCCGATGTACTCACAACACATCCCTGAGCATTTGATGTCTCGGGATTTTTGCCTTTGGTCTCATCCTTTTTGAGTTGCCAACACTCACTCTTGTAGTGCCCCTTTTTGCCACAGTGAAAACACTTGACATTCTTCTTACCCCTTGACTTTGATCAACCTCGGTTGGGACTCCCACTAGGGCTAGGCTCCGTTGGTCTTCCTCTTGTCACTGTCAACGCCTGAGATTGTTGTGAAATTCCAACTTTGTCTTCTTTGTTTTTGCGCCGACTTTCCTCTTCAAGAACCGCATCTGCAATATTATCGAAGACAAGTATCTCCTTGTTGTTGACCAAATTGATGATGAGTTGATCATATGAATCCGGTAGACTTTGGAGTAAGATTTCAGCACGTTCATTCACTTCTATTTTATAACTCAACGTCGAGAGTTGTGAAAATAGAGTGTTGAGAGTATTGATGTGCTCAGTTATTGAAGATGTCTCCATCATCCTGAGAGTGTATAACTTCCTCTTCAAGAAGATCTTGTTGTGCAGTGATTTGGCCTCATACAAATTTACGAGAGTATCTCATACCTCTTTTTCCGAACCTTTTTCCGCCACACTTGACAAAACTCCATTTTCTTCAATTGCTGCTACGTAATTATCTTTCCTGAGAACTGCTTTCATTCTCATTTTCCACAAGAAAAAATTGTTCCCTTTGAACTTTTCAATCTCGTACTTGGCCGCCATTGTAAGTGGTGTTCTTGATTCAAATCCTGGAAAATATATCTAAATAGTATTGTATAATAGAATAATACCGGCCTTGAGAATTTACCAGTATTTATTCTAACATAAACAATACAAAATGATATATCTATGAACCAACATGAGGCTCTAATACCACTTGTTAGGATCGAAACGGGTTCACTACACCAAATTTACAATAGCAACTTGAACTGAAAATATTGAGAATAAATTCTAATGTAAGATTTAAAATAAATCATACACAGAGCAAGGGAATTTGAAGAAGAATATTCTGTATTGGCAAAGGATATTACAATAGAAATTACAAATATAACTCTTTATTTACTCTCTACAGAATTTGCTATGCTACTGGAAATTTTCGGATGGGATGATCCAAATGAATGAAGGATGTTGCCTATTTATAGCAACCAAAAAGTCTAAAAAATTCTTAAGCATTTAACGCTACATTAAATGCCTAGGAACTTGCAATGCAAGAAAACTTCTCCTGCAAATTTCTCCAAGAAAAACATATGCCCAAAAAACTCATCTCTAGCTTTTCCCTTGAATGTTTTTCCCCTTTACAAACCAATGCCCAAGCATTTAATGCATTTGTCTTATTCAAACTTCATCCCAAATTCCCTTAGGAAACCTCATCCCAAATTCCCTTAAGAAAACTCCTCCCAAGTTCCCTTAGGAAAACCTCTTCGTATTCCACATTTGACTTTAATATTTACACAACTTGTTTTGTTTTCTCATCAAAAGATAACAGAGTAGAGGCTTCATATTTGTTGTTTAAATTTCAATGATTATACCATAGACCATGATTTGAAATAAGATACATTTTTAATATATTGATTTATGTACTAAAAGTATATTATTTGTAGATACATTATTTATATACTGAAAGTAAAACATAAATAGTGTACCTTTAATTAGTATGTACATTAAAAATGTACCTTGTAGCAAGGCTTATTGGGTTAGTCCATGGGTTTAGGGCTAGATTGACATCCCTAGGTATGATTGGCGTGATCAATTTTGACACGAAAACAATAGCCCCGGGATGAAAATTGGTAGTGATTAAACATGTGGATCAAAACTGTTATTTTGCTAATATTGGTGGGACCAAAATTAGTAGAGAAGTAGATAAAACTGCAATATAATGTTGATTTTCTGGTCCTATGTTATTTATGTGTTTGGGTATTTCTTTAAGTTGGAGGCTGCAATATAATATTTATGAATGAATTAATTAATAGGGAACTTAGGATGCTATAAACTGTTAGATTCCAGGAGGTTGCTGGTGGGATAGATGTATGATAGGCCGGTGGATTGCGTGCACTTGGAGGGATGCCATTTCTGCAGGTTATCTTCTGCAGCTAATGCATGTTTGCAGTTTTTCCATTCTCTAGTATAGGATAATTCTTATTTTATGTTTTCATACTTGTTTCTCTTTGCCTTATATACTTCCAGTTTTTGTCGTTATAATATTGTGTTTCCATATTATTAATAATTTTTTTTTTTTTTGTTATCGTTTATGTAGAAAATACTTCTTCTACATATAACAATGTATGCAATACCACAAGTTCATCAATTATTTACGGTGTGTTTCAAGATTCACTATCTACTCCGTTGAGCATGTTGACAAATGGTTAGTGTATTTTCAGTTATAAAATAATTTTATGATATCATTACCATTTTGGTTGGCGATTTTAGGCAAATATTACCTGCTGTTTAAGATTTAAGAAGAAAATTGCAAGACATTTAAGAAGAATGGTACGAGTAAACCAGTTTCTGTGAGCAAAGGTGAGCATATATACATTAGCATTTACAAATATATATGGTGAACTTCAAATCATGAAAAACTTACCATCTATATTATAATTATTTATTCATCCCGTATGATGTATATAAAAAATCATTACATATTATTTATCACTGAATTCACTAATAATTCATCTATTCTGTTCTTTTTTTAGAAAACGTTGCTTTTCAATCTACTATAATTACTGCACAGCTTTGAGTGATGTGAAAAATGGTAATTATATATTCATAATACATTACTAGGTTATGAATTTCTAATGAATTTTGTAAATAGCATGTAATATGCCGGGTGGAATTATCAAAAATACAAATACTATGCCATCAAGAGCTATCCTGAGGAATAATACTAACGCTCAGGCATCTGCAGGTAAGTCATTAAGCATTATTATAAATTTATGTTCAAAACTTTTGTAAACAAATTAAATTATGTATTCAAGTTAATAATTTATTTAAATTTTATTAGGTAATGTTGAGAGGTCAAGCAATTTCGGCCAAATCTCTAATCACATTAGCGTACAAGAATTTAATCAGACATCTATCATCTCATTTTTAAGACTTGAGTAGAGAATTCGATGAGGTTGAGGGGATAGTGATTGTTAATGGTAAGCACTGTCTACTGAAACCTAAATTTGGGTACAAATTAAATAATTTATTTCTATATTTTTTAAAGAAAAAATAATGGTTATTATTTATTATTTGTCTACAGTTGACTATGCAGACATCGATGATTCAATATATTCCTGTGAACGTTGTTTTGCACAGTTTTGGTACAATGAATGGTTAAATAAGTCAAAGGTAAATGGTGTTCCTAAATATTCATCGTGTTGTGGACATGGGAAGATTATGTTGCCACCTATCACCAGTGCCACCAAAAAAGTTATTTGAACTGTTCTTTAATTGTGGGTTTAATAAGAGAACATGCTTCTTGAAAAATATTAGGTCATATAAGAACATGTTTTGTTTTACGTTAATGGGTGGTAAGATTGACAAAAATATAAACAATGGTAGTACACCTCCTATTTTTAGAATCAAATGGTCAAAATTTTCTTGGATCCTATTACCACCTGATGGTAGCAAACGAAAATGTGCACAATTGTACATCTACAACACAACATGAAATTTCTAATAGCATTAGCTTTGTAAGGTATTTGTTAAGACTCTATTTCAATTTCCTAAGAGCTTAGTATGTTGTTTATTACATTCTATTGCAATTTACTATCTTATAATTGCGTGTAGGAAAGATGACAATAAAATAAACATACATGTTGAGGTTATTGCTGACATTAAAGAAGTTCTCGATGAAAACAACAGAAGTTCTCGATGAAAACAACAGAAGTTCTCGATGAAAACAATGTGTTAGTCAAGTCATTTTCTGTTATAAGAGCAACCCCAATAGGGGTTCATACAAGGTCCTTGGAGCTTTAAAATCTTGCAGTCGTTAGCGCACCGCGGTAAAAAACGGCACCGTTTCTTTGAGTAAAGAAACGGTCCGCCGTTACCGTTAACAAAGTCCGCATGTTTGGTGTATTAAACACCAACTGACACTACAGTACATATAAACCGACACTGTCTCACGTATTATTTTTATATTATCAAATGAAACTGCAGTTATATCAAAATGATACTGTAGTTGTGGTGAAATGAAACTGCAGTGTATATAAAATGAAACTGAATAACATTTCACATATTTGAGTGTATATTGTACAATGAAGCTGTAATTATATCAAAATAATCATGTAGTTGTGTTTTAATAAAACTATAATATATATAAAATAAAATTAAATAACATTTTCACATATTTGAGTCTATAAATATCGAATGAAACTGTAGTTATATCGAAATGAAACTGTAGTTGTATTGAACTGAAACTGCAGTGTATACAAAATGAAACTGAATAACAGAGTTACTTTTTGCGGAAGGGTGCGGAATGGTGGAAAACAAATGCCGTTTCTTTTCATTTAACAAAACGACGTCGTTTTGATTTGCGGTGCACGATATAATTTGCCAAATGGAATGGGTGAATTTTGAAGAGTTTTTCTCCTGCAAAAACAAAACTCTTGTCAGGTTTTTTTTTTTTTTTTTTTTTTTTTTTTTAAAAGAGACGCGAAACGCGTTTGGCGACCACTCTCAATTGAAATTTATTTTTTATTTTTCTCTTTTGTTTTTAATCTCTGTCGTTGGCCACCTGCTTAACAGCTAGCTTAAAATCTATTTTTACCAAACACTTTTAATCATAACAGCTAGCTTAACAGCTCTTCAGTTTTCAGCTCCGAGCTTATAGCTTTTCAACTTTCAGCTCATTTTCAGCTTCCAGCTCCTAGCTTATAGTTTTTCAGCTAGGTTTGCCAAACAGAGCCTTTGAGGTTTTTTTTTTTTTTGTTTTGTTTAAGTTTTAAATATTAAATTTTATTATTAAATTTCTATTTGATAAAATATTTTAATTTTGATATGTATAATTTAAATATAATAAAAATAATTATTTTATAATGATAATAAATAAAGAAATAATTAAAATATATGGTAAAATGGTGGGCCCACAAAAAGTTAGGAAAAAACTTAAAATCAATGGGAAAAAGAGTTTTTGTGATTGAGGGAGGTAGTGAGTAATGAGGTGGATGTTGGGGTCCACAAAAAAATGAAGAAAAAACCCAACTATTGAGGATGCCCTAAGTTTTGTAAAGATGCTTTTGTTTAAATGCTTGAAGTGGGTTATGGTAGTTTCATATAGCTGTTGAGGGTTTAAAGAGAACGTTTTTTCTTGTCTTTTGTGGTACTTTTATTTCACTATTGTGAAGTTGATGAAAAAGGATACTCTTAGGACTTAGGATCAGCACTTACCACCCTGTTCGGTAAAAATTGACCTATAGGCTAATTTTGGCTTATTTAGCCATTATTAATTGTTTGATTTAGTTAAAATATCAATATAAATGTTTGGTTAATTAGCTTTTTGTAATTCCAAAAGGCTAAAATTGAAAAAAGCTACTCCAAACAACTTTTTCAATTAGCTTTTTGAGAGAAGAAATTATACCAAACAGCTATCAACTAACAGCTAATTTACCAAACACTTTTCTACAATCAGCTAATGTTATCAACTATTTATACCTTCTAATTAACACAATCAGCTAACAGCCATTTTATCAAACAGGGCCATAACTTTTGGCGTGTGGTGACGGGTTGGAATCCCAGCAGGATGAACTGTTCACATATCTATTGGTAACTCTCAGATTGTGAAAATATTAATATGTTTTGGTTAAAATTTAAATTGGGTACCCGTACTGAATAGTTTGCATCCGTACAGATGATGGTCCAAGGAGTGGAGTTGCATGGGTCTTAGATCAGATTATCTGAAGGCCTTACATCTTCTGTATTGGTGTTGTTCATGGTTCCATGCATTACCTCCTATCATTAGGATTTATTACACTATCAGTGTTGCATGCATTACCTCCTATCATTAGGATTTTTAAAAAAATATAAGAGAATATTGACATTATTAATAAGATTGAAATTTTGGGTGTATTTCATTTTTTATATTTCACCTGGAATGGATGCAGTGCATCTATCCTGTTTGCAATGCAGAGCAAAAGCAAGAAAAAGGTTGATAGATAGTGGGTTTGTGTAACATTTTTGCATTTGAGAGAATTCAATAGCTTATAAAAATAAAAAAATGTATGACATTACAAAATGCACTTAATTAGAAAAGTATGTTTTAAGAGAGTATGGTTGCTGCACTCCCTCAGCCTGAAATTGCAGAAAGAATTCCAGAGGTGCACAGAGGATTACCAGCAGTCAGGTTTGAGAAAAAAGAAACTCAACAAATGAATGTGGTAGACAAACATCTCCTGATTGGAAAATTCTCTAGGGGAAGGAAATATTTTGCAGCCAAATTCTTGTTGAAAGGGCCGGGACAGTTGAGATTGGCTGGGTGGATCCAAGACATATCACACTGGCCTTTTCACAAGAAGATGATTGTTTAAACATCCTAATGAAAGAACAGATATTCTTTGAGGGAAGTTTTCCCATGAGGCTGTTTAGATGGACTCTAGGATTCTCAACTGAGAGAGTCTAGCTTAGCACCAGTGTGGGTGAAGCTTCCCAAATTGAGTGCAAATTGCTTTACCTTGGCAGCCTTAAGGCAAATCTGTAAGCCCATTGGCAGCTTTCTGGCTGCTGATGAGGCAACTTTGAAGTTCACTAGGTCCAGTTATGCAAGGGTCAAAGTGGAAATAGACCTATTGAAGCCTAGGGTACATGAAGTGTTCATAGGCTTCTCTAGGGATGTTGGAGAGTTGAATATGAAAGAATTCCTTTATACTGCTCTAAATGCTACAAACAAGGGCACAACAATGAGTTTTGTAGAGCAGGAATTTTGGCTGGAAATTTTGCCAGAGGCCAGCCGGGGAGAACAAATGGGGCTCAGCAGGGACAAAGGGGAACAAATGAATCTAGAGGAGGAAATCAACCTAGGAAAGAAAATCAGAGGGAGAGGGAAAATGTGAGTGAGGGAGGTCAGTCTG